GACTGGAGGACGTGGGCGTGTCCCATCTGTGCCCTTGGGAAGACGCGGAGCCGGGTCATGATGGTGGGCAGGAGTGGCGGGGGCTGTGCGCTGTGCCAGAGCCCTCTCTGTGCGCCTGCTCCGGGGCACGCATCCTCCTCCTCCACTCCCTGCAGCCAGTGCTTGAGTTGGGCCCACGTCTTGGTGGCCTCCTACCGTCAGAGGGGAGTTGTTGTGGCAGTTATTCGGGTCCTTTAAGTCAAAAACAAAGCCTCGTGGGCACGGTATTTGTCTTCACCTGCATGGTCTGAAGGAGGTAAAGTAAGATTGTGTGGAGGAGGCGGCTGCTCTCACCTCCAGCAGTGCTGGAGCACCTGGCGAATGCCACTGTGTCAGGGGGAGCGAGGGGCCCAGGACCTCTGGCCGTCCTGTGGACGTGGTTTATTGCCAGCCGAAGTGACCCTTCCTTTTGTTTCCCGAGTGAGTTCCTGAGCCTGTGCAAGGCCCGGAGCGGTCTGCTGTGCACACAGCCCCCAGCACCAGCCCCTCCCCCGTCCCTTCTAGCTGCCATCCTCGCCGCTGGAGGCTGCGCCGTCCCAGGCAGTGGTGCACGTCTCTGCCCACAGCCTCCACGTCTGCGGGACCACAACGGCAAGATGACACTCAGTTGACACAGTGGACCTCACACACCAGGCGGGTCATCGTTTGATTTTTAAGTTAATGTTTCTTTCTTTATTAGACTTTTAAAATGTGAGTTGTTGATTTGTATCTTAGAAAATAATGAGTATTTGCCAAATCTTATAATAATGAGATTAGTCAACATATTAGTCATCTTTCAATCAAAATTTATATTCGATCAGCATTCATTGATTGATTCATCCCACAAATACATGGCACCACCTGCAGCCAGTGCTGGGGGACAAGGGACCAGCTCTGTGGCTGTCGTTGGGGAGTGGGGAGGCAGGGAGATGGGTGAGGTTGGGAAGGTGTGGGTGCCAGGGAGCTGGCATGGGACGGGGCTGCGTGGGAGGTCTGCGTGTCCCATGGGGGCCTAGCACTCTTGTGTGCCCTGGCAGTGGGGCAGGCAGAGGCTTCTCATCACTGCGCTTGCATTGTTAGAATCCAAATACCTTTTATTTGAGAAACCAAAGTTTCAACACCCTTTGCGCAGGGTTGAGCTGTGCTGACTGCAGTTTGCAGTGGGTCAGCCTTTTTCTCTGCCTCCCCTGCCTCTTGTCCTGGTCCCCAGCACCCCTCACCTGGGCCTCCACCTGGACAGCCCCCAGGCCACCCTTCCCAGCAGGCAGAGGGACCTGTGAGAAACACAAGCTGTTCCCTCCTAGAGTCAAGTCCACATAGCTCCAGTGCCCACAGCCCAGCCAGAACACTGGCTGCGCACTGTGTTCCTTCTGCGCTCTGCCACAGGGCCTTTGCACGTGCTCGTCCTGTCGTGGAAAGCCCTCCCTCTCTCTCCCAAGATTGGTTAACTTCTGTTTATCCCTCAGTTTTGTTCAGCCTTTATTACCCCAGGAAAAAAAGCTGGCAGAAGCATGTTATGTTTCTCATGATGTAGATTATTTCATTTTATGAGGATCACCTAATTTATCAGTATAAAATGCAGTGAGGTTGGTGACACCATTATCCTCATTTTACATGGGAAACCTGAGCCAGCCACACCTGGGAAATGTGTGACCCCTTCCCATCATCTTCTCCAGCCTGGACACCATCTGAGCCCTGGCCCCATCCTTCCTGAGGTTTGTGTGGTTTCACATGATCTTATCTTTAAATAAAGCTGGAATGCGGATGGAACAGGGGTCATAGCCTGGGCCCTGTCTGTGGCGCAGGTGCCCCTTTACGTGGTGTGGCTTTGTTCGTTCTGTCCCTGGTGGTGACGTTAACCTGGCCGCAGTCTTTGGCATCTCAGCGCCAGGCAGGGTCCTGCGCCCTCCCCTCTGGTTTGCATGCAAGTGCTGTTTCTGTCCTGATGGATGCCCCTGTAGAGCCTGGTCAGTTTTTATCCCCCCGGCAGTGCAGGAGGGGCCTCTTTGCTCACACTTGCTGACACCACCGTCTTGGCCAGGCGGATGCCGACTAAATCCACATCTAGGTAACCGTGGTCAGGTCGGTGTGCCGCTGCATGTTCGGAGCCTTCTGCGCAGTGGCCGTCCGCACTCCCGTTTCCCTCTTGGTTTGTTGATCTTTTTCTTACTGACGAGTAGGTATTCTTACAGAGAAGGAAAGCTAGCGCTTCATCTCTGTTAACATATTTTCCCGTAATTTCTTGTCTTCGAACTTGGCTTGTGGTGGTTTTTATAGACAGAGAGTCAAGTCTCTGCTGTCCACTTACCGATGTTGTTTTCACGGCTCTGGGCCCGTGTCTTCCCTCCAGAGCCTTTCCTCACTCAGATATTTCAAAAAACAATCCCACGTTTTCTTCTAGTATTTCTCTAATTTCATTTTTACATTTAAATCTTCAGTCCATCCTGGATTTATTTTAGTGTGTGTTGGAAGGAAGGGGCCCGACTTGGTCATTTTCGGGGTGAAATCTATTTCCCCTAATCTGACTCATGAATTCACCATATGAGGTCCATTTCTGAGCTCTGTGTTCGGTCCCAGTGACGGGATGTGTCTGTTTCTGTGTTGGGTTCTGTGGGTTGAGATGTGCTGTACTGTCAGGGAGGGCGGGCCCCGCGCTGTTGCTCTTTTTGTTTTGTTTTTCCATCATTTAGTATCTCGTTTTCTGCATGAACTCTTACCCTCAGCTTGGCTAGTTCTAATAAAACCTCTCCTGGGAAGTGCGCTAGGGTGTGTGTTCATTTAGGGATTGCTCATGTCTGTGTTTGCCCCTCAGTGTCTGGTTATTGGGGCAAATTCAGCATAAAGACCCCTGCCCCGGCGTGAGACAGTGGCCGTGTGAGTGAGAGTGTGGGCGAGCGTGCTTCACTCCCCATGCGTGCAGAATGGAGCGCTTTCCAGAGGGCAGTCTCGCACGTTGGCATTGTTTAAGCAAGGTGTTTCTGGATGTTCCGTCGCCATGACGCAGAGCTGCTGTGTTCGGAGGAAGCCTTGCATGGTCCCGTGCTGTCTTCGGTTCTGAGCGGCACTGACGTGGCTGTCTCTCCCTGGTGTGTGGCCTGCTGCCTGTTCACTGGTGGTGAGCACGGCCTCTTCCCCAGCCGCTCCTAGTCAGAGCTTCTGCACGAGTCCCCAGCGGCTGCTGGCCTTCCCTGGACTCCAGTGGGTGCTGGTAGCCGACACAACCTGAGTGTTTTATCTCAGAAAAGCACATACACAGCATGGTGGATTCAAAGAAACATTAGAATTGTGCTTTTCTGATGCTGTCATAACTCCTTATGAGTCTTATTTTAATATTTTTCTATAGTAGTTTAAATTATTTGATCACTCTTTTTCCTTTCTTTTTTAATCTAAATGCTTTTTGAGCTCCAACTGACCCCTGCCACGTGCAGCCCCCAGTTGTCACACTGAGGGCAAGGCAGGCAGGCTATGGGTCAAATCCTAGCATTGCCTCCTGGTGTCTGGGGTGTGCCCTCATCTGGATTAGCAGCGTCCACACATGGTCTCTTTGGAAGCCCTCTGGCCCAGGCCACAGGTGTGGCAGACACACGCGTGGCCGTCAGCACATCTGCAGGTTAGGCTCGGCTGTGGGGTTCAGCGTGGCCTCCACCCCAGGGAGGGGTCGATGCTGCCTTACCCCCCCACCCCACCCCACTCTTCTGCCTTTGGCTCCTCCCCTCGCCGATGGATGTGTTTGAATGCTTGGCCTGGGGCTGGAGGCCTTGACTTCTTGGTGTGACCAGCTGGGTGGCTCACCCCGCTCACTGGGCAGCAGGCAGAGGGCACTTGGTGCCTGGAGCAGACGAAGGAGCCAATCAGGAATGTGCGACTAGCGCTTCACTGGACTGGTGACGACATCTGTACGGTCACTGTCAGTCGGCTTTGCCCCGGGAAGACACAGCAGGAACCAGACCCAAAGCACAGCACCTCCTGACCACGCAGGTTTGGTCACCAGTGGCAGCAGGGCATCCCGTTGCCTTCACCGTAGGATGGCCCTGTGTGGGACACGCCGGATCACGGCGCAGAGATGCGTCTGCGGAACGTGCAGTGTTCCCAGAGCCACGGCTCACTCTGGCCTGTGCCCTTCCTCTCAGGCTCAGTGGCCAGGCTGCCTACTTGGGGGTGGGGACCCCCACGACACTGCTCACACCAGGGGACAAGGGTGACAGACGGGTTTCCTAGGTGCCTCCCCTTGCTTGGGAGCTTGCTTAGAAGATCCTGGGAGCCAAAGGCTCGTTAGTGGACACCTCAGGAGCTGGCCTCCTGGGGCGCCTGTTGTGACATGTTCCACATCAGAGTCACCTGCGTGAGCTGTCGAGTTAACGTGTGTAGCTACATACTCAAACGTGGACACTGTGCCTGAACCTTCTGCATCAGGAAGGGCACAGGCACCAGGGTGCGTGCTCCGTTGCGAAGGTGAGCTCCTGCCCTGTGGACTCCGCATGCTCCTCCCTGAACGCACCCATGCCGGCCTGTGGCACCTCCTGGGACCTTACACACAGGGAGTGCGCGGCGCCCTGTCCGGCTGCTTTTGCTCTGCAGCACGTTGTGAAACCACCCTTGCGTGCAGTTACGGTGTCTGGTTCTTACTGCTGTGTGCGTGCACGTTTTTGTTTAAGGTTATGTCCTTTTCTGTTTATCCCCGTGGCTGCAGTTTGTTACTGTTCGGGTGCGTATGCGCGTGTGTGTTGCGAGTGTGCACGTATGTGAGCTTTAGAGTGTTGTGTCAACTTGTGTGCACTGTGTGTGTGGAGCCACACGAGGCTGGGTCTGTTTTGTTCGATGCCCTGCCCTGCGTCTGGGATGCACTGGCTGTCACCAGTGTGCAGTGTGCCTGTGGACTGAGCGGGGGAGCGGAGTGCTGTAGAGAACAGAGCTTGGTGCCGGGCCCCGGAAGAGCCCACAGGAGGGCGGGGGTGCAGGTGCCGTCTGTGCTGGTCCCGCAGAGTTGACTGGCGCTGACCTGAAGGACTGCGTGAGCAACAACAGCCTGAGCAGCAATGCCAGCCTCCCCAGCGTGCAGAGCTGCCGGCGCCTGCGTGAGAGGAGGGTTGCCAGCTGGGCCGTGTCCTTCGAGCGTCTGCTGCAGGACCCCCTTGGTGTTCACTACTTCTCTGTGAGTGGGGAAGAGCCTGGGGGCTGGCAGGGGAGGTCTGCGCTCTTCGCTGAGGTTGCTTGAGCAGGATCCGTTGCCCACCCCAAAGACAGCAGCACCCCTGCAGGTCAGCCACAGGCCCTGAGTAGCTCAGTGCAGGTGTCTCCCCCTCCCCGCAGGGCCGAGCCAGGGTGGGCTCAGCGAGCCTGGGCTCAGCCCTGCCTCCTCAGCCCGTCCCCCGGGGAGAACCCTTGACTCTTCCCGTGCTCTGCCTGACAGCACTCTGCCGCAGGCACCAGGGCTTCCAGTAAACGGCGAAGCCAGATGTGTGCTGCCAGCTCCAGCTGCTGGAAAGAAATGTTTAGCTGTCAAGAAAACAGCTTGAATGCCAGAGCGGTGGTCCTTAAAGTGTTGGGCATCTTTAGTTTATCTTTCTAGGCCCTCGGGTGAAGCATCGAGAGGAGTTTGTAACCTTGTGGTTTCTGTAGAAGGTAAAAATAAGAGAAGAGGAGTAAAGAAATGATCACCTTGCAGAGAGGACAGTCTCGTAGAGTAGCTGCCAACTTTTCTTCCATTGGTCTTTCTGTCTATGTTAATTAATGCTGTTTTTCTTAGGATTTTCTAAGGAAAGAATTCAGTGAAGAAAACATTTTATTCTGGCAGGCCTGTGAATATTTTAATCATGTTCCTGCACACGACAAAAAAGAGGTAAATTTCTTCATGCCTAGGAAGTGGAGATTACAGCAGTGTGGCTTCACTATAGGTCAGTTTAGCATATGATTAACATCTAGTCCAGTTTGAAAAGTTGGTGTAAAAATATTTTCACATGGTTTGAAAATGTCATTTCTTTTTCAGAATAAATTTTTATATATACATGATATTTAATTTTGCCTAAACATAGTTTGTACAAATGCCTTTAGCCACACAACTTTTCATCAGCAATGTGTTGCCACTCAACGTGTTGAAATTAAGAAGAGGGAATGTGTGTCTAAAGGGAAACCTAAATAAAATCCGAGGCAGAAGAGCTTCCTAAGAATGTGGGTTTTCTCAGCTCCCCTCACATGCCACGTGGTCATGGGGCATGGGCCTGGGAGGACACTTGGCTGGGTTGCAGCCTGCGGCGTCATGTCCTGCTCCTCTTGGGTGAACGACCACACTCAGGGCTGGGGCCTCTTGCATCAGCTCGGCACACTCGGGGACTTTGCTCTCCTGCATGCCCTCTTTGCTAAGTGGGGACCACCTCGCAGAAATACCAAATGTACGCACTTGCCACACCTAGGGGTAGCGTTGCCCCAGTCTTTGGAACGGTTAAAGCATCCACTTAAAGAATTATAGAGGAGCCAGTTCAGTGAAGTTTCTTACTGGCTTGTACTTTTATTTATTGGAGCAAGAAATGTTTATTGTGGCCCATGGAAATACACCTCCGGTGCCTGGAGCTGTGCCAGGCCTTTGGAATATGGCAGCAAAATAAGTAGAAAACCCACGTTTCCTCTTTTTGTTGTTGTTGTTGTTGAGAAAGGGTCTTGCTCTGTCACCTGGGTAGAGTACAGTGGAGTCGTCATAGCTCATTGCAGCCTCCAACTCCTGGGCTCAAGTGATCCTCCTGCCTCAGCCTCCCAAGTAACTGGGACTACAGACACTACCACACTTGGCTAATTGTTCTATTTTTAGTAGAGACGGGGTCTCACTCTTGCTCAGGCTGGTCTCGAACTCCTGAGCTCAAGCGATCCTCCCACCTTGGATTCCCAGAGTGCTAGGATTATAGGCGTGAGCCACTGCGCCTGGCCCAGAAAACACATGTGTAGAAGAAGCCTGATGTCCACATGCCTGCTCAGACATTTTCACCTTTCAGCTTTCCTACAGGGCCCGGGAGATTTTCAGTAAATTTCTGTGCAGCAAAGCCACCACCCCCGTTAACATTGACAGCCAGGCCCAGCTGGCGGACGACATTCTCAACGCGCCTCACCCGGACATGTTCAAGGAGCAGCAGCTCCAGGTACCTCCCTGTGCCGCGGTTTCTTAAGGGGAATCCCAGCTGAAGCTTGGGCTCTCAGACGGCCTCCAGATGGAGAGGAGAGCTGCCGCCTGACACAGATGTGTCTCAGGAGAACACAGACGGAACTTGGGGATTTCAGTAGGGCCGTGAAATTAGAAGTCCTGAGCTACTCTTGGCCTCTCTGCAGGTGACCTGGTGGTTTACACATTCACATGTGAATGTACACACATGTGCACTTGTGCAAAATCACATGTATACACACGTGCACTTGCTCTTTGCACTTTCACATGTGTGCACATGCACTTGTGCAAAGTCACATATTCTCGAGTGATGATATATGTGTGTTTGAATTTTTTTAAGTTTTGGACATCACTATGATGAAGAATAAATAACCCACTGTTACTTAGAGCCCATGTTTCGCTGGCCTTTTCAGAGGCCACTCTGTTGCTAAGTCATATGAATAGTGTTTTTAAAAAAATTTGAAGAAGGTATGTTCAAGGCAGTTCTCACTCTGTTAGATTTCCAGTTGGTTTTGGTTTCATTCTTACTTAAAACAAGGTTCTCCAGGAGTGGCTGCCCTGAGTCTGCTTGTGGTGCTGGCTTTATAGAAGTCATTGCAGTTTGCTGATTTGGAGAGTAGTTTGTTGGAAGAAAGAACAATCAGACATGAGGGGACACTGGAAAATATCTCCAACATACTCTGGGGCGGTGGGTGGGAAGATGGGTGGAAGTGATGTCCTCTCAGGGTAGGAGGCCCTCTGGTGTCTGCAGGTCCCTCACATGGCCTTGGCCTTCAGGCCAAGCACTGGGTTGCTTCTCCAGCCGTGTTGCATTGTATTCATCCCCAGATTTTCAACCTGATGAAGTTTGACAGCTACACGCGCTTTCTGAAATCCCAGCTGTACCAGGAGTGCATCCTGGCGGAGGTGGAAGGCCGTGCCCTCCCGGACTCACAGCAGGCCCCCAGCAGCCCGGTGTCTAAGCACAGCCTCGGCTCGGACCACTCCAGCATGTCCACGCCAAAAAAGGTGCCCCTCCCCCGGCCGGCTCAGGTCACTGCTGGGTGTGTTTCATCCCATGAGAGCTCTCCCAGGGGCCGGAGATAGAGGCTGTGTCTGCATGTTCTTTCACCAGCAGCAGATGAGAGACATACCCAGCACACAGACATCCAGGCTGGCCTCGTGCTGGGGCTCTCAGTGCTGGAAGGTTCTAGCCACTGTGTCTGGAGTCCTGTCAGGGCTGCACTCCTGGCCTATTGGATGTCATTCCCTAGAGTACTCACGTGACTGCTCACTATTCCGTCTCCTCGTGCATTTCATATAATAGTAAAATAACATTACGTTGTTTTAACCAAGGTTTCCGTTTGCTGACAGTTGAGTGGAAAATCAAAATCAGGAAGGTCCCTGAACGAAGAGCTGGCGGAGGAGGACAGTGAGAAGAAACGGAAAGGCGCGTTTTTCTCTTGGTCAAGGAGTAGGAGCACCGGGAGGTCCCAGAAGAAGAAGGAACATGGTGACCTTCCAAACGGTTTGTTGTGCTGCCTGTGTGGGCTGCGTTGTCCCGTCACAGGCTGCGGGGCCGTGGCCATGGTGTGCAGCGTGAGGTGGGCGGCTTGAGGAAGCTTTTGAGGAATGAGGAAATGTTCTGGGAGTCCCGCCCTCCCAGGGTGCCAGCCGAGGGGCTCGGGGCATTCCTGCCCCTCCTGCCCTTGGTGGGCTACTGGCAGCAGGTAGTAGGGCAGAGGGAGTGGACATGTTCCACGCTTGAGGCAGAGGAGGAGGAAGCCGTTCTATGCCAGGGACTGGAAAGCACATAGGAGAGAGTTGGGAAGGATTTTCTTCCCTAGAGATTTTCGAGAAAGGGATTATTTTCAGAAATGAGTGTCCTGCCTAACAGTGAGGGACTTGCACTAAACCTGTGGTCCCCAAGTTGAAGTCAGGCAGTGACCATGATTCAGCGAGCACAAGCCGGGTGAACCTGAGGGAGGTGAGTGAGGGGGCGCCATGGTGCTGCCTGCACAGTGGGCATCGTGCCAATTTACAGAAGGAGGCTCGGGCCTGGCGCAGGGTCCCCAAGCTTCTGGCCATGCTGTGGGTGTCCTTTTCAAAACAAGGGCAGCTGGGAGTTGAGGAACCCACCTTCCTGAGAGGCCACGTGGGGCACACACAGCGTGTTAGGAGATGGGGCAGGGCCTCCCGAGTACCTGGGAGGTGGGGGAGCGTTAGCCCCATTGTTCTGCCCACCAGAGCAGATCCCCGTCACAGGCTGCAGGTCTTTAGACAGCCGTCTGAAGGGGCTTTTAAAGCCCTGATTGCAGAGGGTGCCCCAGAATTCAGAAGTTCTGAGTCTGGCCCAGGGTGGAGCCTGGGAATCCATCCCTTTGAGGAGGTGGGTGGTGGTTGGGGAGGCCGGGAGTACCGGGAGCCACTGTCTTAGCCCCACCCCGGCCACCCCTGGAGCCCGTGTGTAGCAGCGTGATTTGGGAGTAAGGCCTGTGTTTTCAAAAGTCCTTTTGGCCAGAATTTTCATGATTTTTAGATTAGCCTAAGATTATAGAGTGAGTGTAAGTTAATGACAGTTGGTGATTGTTAGCTCACTTTAGGACTTCAAGGAAAAGGACATGAACTGGATTGTTGGTAAAGATGCAGCAACCCACTGGAAACATTTGCTGCTGTCCACAGGGGGACGGTTTTCTTTAGGCCCAGAAACTGCAGTTTGAGATACAAATTCCAGATTGAATGAAGGAAAGTCAGGCCTGCCCAGGACACTTACTGGAGTTGGTGCTGCGCACTGCTGTCTGGTGGTGCCTGCCACCGGCAGAGCGCAGTGCCGGAGCCGGGATGTGGCAGGGGCAGGGCAGAGAGTGGCGCCTGGTGCGGGGTGGGGCCGCCCTCACCCCTGCAGGGTAGGAAGACGCGTCCAAGTGAGGCACAGCAGTGCCTGGGAACAGCTTCCTTATGTCTGTCTTTCGTCTGCACGTCTGTCCGTTCCGCCTAAAGGGAGCAGGGGCTGGGAGGTGGGGCCAGACAAATGGGACTTCTGTCTCAAGTGAGGAAAAGTGAAGCTACCACTTTGGAGTCATCTGAGGCACTATGTCTTCCCATCAAGACCCCATCCTCGCCAACGGAGGCCCGTGCCGCCGAGAGTCCCAGGGCTCTATGTCCTCTGCAGGGAGCCTGGACCTGGTGAGTTGCTGCCTCCCCTTGTCCCGAGGGCCGCAGGGCTGTGCTGACTCCTGACTGGGGAAGCCTGTGTCTCACGTTACACAACCAACTTTCATTTAGTGAAGGGGCGCGTGGCTTGGGCATGGGCCCGGGCATAGTGGCTGAGTGCACAGCCTGTCCAGGGTGCGGGCCTGGCCTGCTGTCTCTCCTCTCATGCCTGTGAATCACGTGTGTTGCTGCTTGTTCTGGTCCCAGTTACCTTAGATGAGGGGAGGTGGGCAGGTGCAGCAGGGTCTGTTGGTCTGTTAGCTGTTGTCTGATTTGAATTTTGGAAAACCTTACTGGTTGCCAGCATCCTAGTCATTTGAAAGTGTCAAGCAGCAATCAACGTAGAATATTATTTCTTCTTCAGTTTTGCCAAGTAACATTTCAAACTGTAAGGATTTACCACATGTCAGTTTGCTGTTGCTGCCTAATTACTATCCCTCCCAAACTTGATGGCTAAAAAAGGAGCCATTTATGATTGCGTAAGCCTGCGGACCAGCGGGTGGTCCGCCAACCTCAACTGACTGTGCCTGAGTGTCCCTGCCTACCTGGCATGTCAGCGGGGCCAGCGGTCCCAGGTGACCTCACTCACCCCTGGCCCTCACTGGACTGCAGGCTGGGTCTCCAGCCGCCAGTCCCCTTGTTTCTGTGCAGAGCGTGCTGGCCTGCAGGGGCCCAGGCTTCCAGCTGTACGTGGCCACCAAGCTCCTTCTGTCAGCCAGGCCGGGGCTGCAGGGGCAGCCCCAGCTCCTGGGGAGGAGCTGCAGAGCTGGGTAGTGAGAGGCTCAGGCACAGGGAAGGGGATACTTGGGGCCATTTTTGCAACCGGTCTACAAACTAGCTTCTGAAATAACACTTTGGGGAAAGAGGTTTTCAGACCATCAGGAGGAGATAGTGACAATGAAATGACAATCTAGACAGGGTTTACCTCAGCAAAATGTCACAGGGAGCTGTTTGCAGAGAGGATATGATATGACTCAGAGACCCTAGGCGGTGTCTCGTCCTCAAGGAGCAGGTCGGAGGGTACAGGATGGTTGGTCACGCTCAGACCAAAAGGTGTTGTAAAGTACGTTCAGGGCCCACAGTTAGAGGAAGGTGGTTGCTCAGTGTTACCTTAGAAAACCCAACACTTAGTCAGCTCTTTGTGCAAAGCCACTGTGCAGATTGATCCTGAGCCTTTTGCACATGAGGAGCTGCAGGTGGGACAGAGAGGCAAGGCTGTCTGGCCTCTGTAGGCACATGCAGGCTGGGGCTGGCCGCACTGCCTCAGGGGTCGCCCGCCTCGTGAAACGCACAGCCGTTTGTCTCCCTGCCCCAGTCGGAGGCCTGCAGGACCCTGGTGCCCGAGAAGGACAAGGCCGCCAAGCACTGCTGCATCCTCCTCCCAGACGGGACGTCCTGCGTGGTGGCCGTCAAGTCGGGCTTCTCCATCAAGGAGATCCTGTCTGGACTGTGCGAGCGGCACGGCATCAACGGGGCCGCCGTGGACCTCTTCCTGGTGGGCGGGGACAAGGTACCAAGCTCCCCAGACCCTCACGGCCACTTGGCTGGGGAACTGGTCTTGTCGGACAGCAGCCTGCCCGCTGCTTCTCCTCTTGGCTAGCTGACTCCTCATGCGGGTCTCTGTCCCGCATTCCTCACTTAGCGTGTTTGCTGGAAGCTGGGTTATCTGAATTCAGTGACGCTGCTGGGAGCACTTTGCATGCTGGAGTCGGAGTGGTGTTTGGAGAGCGATGCTTCCTCTGTGGATGGGCTATTTTTGAGCTTCTCTTTTGTTCTGCACAGCTGCACCCATTGCACATTGTTCCACACTTCAGGGGGTGCTTCTTGTTCCCACTTTAATTTTGGTCTCTTTGTTCCAAAGCCTCTGGTGCTGCATCAAGACAGTAGCATTTTGGAGTCAAGAGACCTGCGCCTGGAAAAGCGCACTTTGTTTCGGTAAGAGAAAACCAGAGTTGTCATTTATGGGAGGTCCCAGAGCCCCCCGTGTTGTCTCTTTGCTTTTAGGGAGTAGACACATGCTGGTTCTGTGAGGGGCTGTGAAGGCACGTCAGTGGCCAGGGTGAGAAGGGAAGCCTTCCTGCCCAGGCTGGTGGGCACAGCCTGAGGCCACAGCAGGGAAGGGCTGCTCTGCTGGGCTCTGCCTGTGCTGGGAAGGGGGCGGCCACATCCCCTGCTCGGCTGCTGTCACTCCCAGAAGAGCCCTTTGCAGACGGCTCCCCACGGAGGAGGGCACTTTACACACAGAGGCTGGCGGGATGGGTGGGCGCCAAGGCACTGAGGGCTGCTCATGGGGCTCTGCTCTCGGGACGGGCCTTCCAGTGGGGATGGACGTGTGTCTGTAGTGAATATTTTGTGCCCCCAGGCTGGACCTCGTTCCCATTAACCGGTCGGTGGGACTCAAGGCCAAGCCCACCAAGCCTGTCACAGAGGTGCTGCGGCCTGTCGTGGCCAAGTACGGCCTGGACCTCGGCAGCCTGCTGGTGAGGCTGGTGAGTGTCTCCCCTGTGCTGGGCGAGTGGCAGGAAGCTCTGTGCCACTCACAAAGGTGAGCCGGGGCGGAGCCTCACCCTCGCAGCCCTGCGCAGCCCTCTCCTGGGTCAGCGGACCTGGCCCTGCGCCCCAGTTCTCATTCCGTGGAGCAGAAACTTGATCATCGTTTTTTTGTACTTTGGTCATTCCAAAAACAGTCGATATTTGCGATGTGGTTTTGGTCCAGGGAAACAAGAAGCAAACCAACAACCCACCTGAAGTAGCCCCACCACTTGCACGTCTGGTCAGATGGCAGGGCTGATGGCACCCGCCCCACTGCACACTGGTGCCTCGGGGCGGGGCCTGGGCTGGTGACTCCTGATTCTCATCTGCGCTTTGTCACTGAAAACTCAGAACTGGCATTTGCAAGCCTAGCCGCCCCTTGGTTATGTGAAGGAGGTTAAGAAGGGAACGAGGAACACTGTGGGGGAAGGAAGGCAGGCCTTGGGCAGCCCCAGTTCCGGGGCATTTCTGAAGCAGCAGGGGTCCCGGAGCCCAGCTGTGAGCCGTGGCTGAGAACCATGGGCACCATGCTGTCTCCCTTCTCAGCAATATCGGAGTGTGATTCCAGGTATTTTTAGGGTTTTAATTTTCCTTGAAACTGGCCTCAACATTGCTCAAGAGCTTTGAAGTGAACGAGAGGAACCTATTTAATTATTCACTGGCACCAGCTCCCAGGGTAACCCGAAGCTCATCCCCCATGGCTGGGTGGAGAGCCCTAGCTAGCACCAAGCCCCTGTCTCAGCCTCCCTGTCTGTAGAATGGGGTGGGGGCCGTGTGCTCACGGGGTACTGGGGCCAGGGTAGGGCCCGTGGTTGGAGCTCATCCCTGGGAGCCGAGGCTTGTTCAGCTGCACGAGGGCCCTGCCAGGCGGGCTCCGAGGTGGGTTGTGGAAATTCTTGTGGAGTGGGTGTGGGTGGGCTTTCCCTTGCACACACCCTCCTGGCCCTCTGATGAGTTCTGTGGGCCACCTGTGCCCAGGAGCATCACGAGTGAGGTAGGAACCTGAGCCTGGGTCCACTCATTCACTGGGGCCGCAGGCACAGCCTGGACCTGGGCCCTCGGGGAGCTCGATGTCACCCCACTTGGCATTTGAGCACTTTGGTTGTTTTCCTGACTGACAAGTAATCTAAAATGCCAAAGGACAAGTTTAGATTTATTTTTTTAAACAGTGGTGGTACATGAGTAGTAAGATTCTCCACCGAAGGAGAGAAGTCTTACCCAGGACAAGGACTCCGGCTCTGTAGCTAGTGATGCGACACTTCATTAGGATTAGGTCTTAGACCCGTTCCTGAAACCGCCGTCTTTGCCTCCTTGTTTTCCAGTGAGAACGTTTTGCTCTCCATGCTCACCGCAGAGCAGTGCCTGAGGGCTGGTGGGGGGCTTTTTAGATGAGCTGCCATCCAGGTTCTAGATGGTATTGACTGTTAAGCCAACTTAAATTAATATTTAAGAGTATTTTTAACACATTTTAAAGCATTGAATTTGTGGATGAAGGTGTTTTGGGTGTTCATGAAGTATCACTCTGCCCAGGGTCCTCGCCTGGGCTGTGTGGGCCAGCAGCCGTCCTGCAGGGCTTGGTGGGAAGACTCCTCGGGCACCAGCACCCTGCAGTCTGGCAGGCGAGTCTGGAATTCCTGTGCCTTCGTGGCAGCATCTGGCTGAGCCCCAGGCCCTCCTTGTCGGCCGCTGATCCCAGGGCACGCGTGTCTGCCTCCATCCAGCCTAGGCAGGGTCTCTGTTCAGCTGCCGTCGCAGCTATTCCCCAAAGCGGCAGTCTGGGTAAGGGCTTCAGCGTACGTCTCTGCCCTAGAGTGGAGAGAAGGAGGCCCTGGACCTCGGCGCCCCTATATCGAGTCTGGACGGACAGCGGGTCATCCTGGAGGAGAAGGACCCTTCCAGAGGAAAAGGTGAGCCTGACTACTCGTCCGCCTGTTGCCTGGCCCCCAAGACCTGCTGCCCACAACTGCTATCTCAGCCGGCACTAGCGGTTAGGACCTTACTGGGGGTCCTGGGACCCCTAACAGGGCCAAAGGTTTGATGCTTAATGTGGTGTTTCTCAAACTGGGTGTCAGAGGGGCTGAGACTAGGAGCAGATTGACCCCCCAAATGTGTCTTCTCAGCTGTGAAAAGGGGTGATGGTCCCTGCCCACGCTACCCTGGGTTGCTCTGAGGTTCTGACATGCTCACGTCAGAGCATGTTAGTGCTGGAAGGTGCTCTCTTCCTGCGAGGATGTGCAGTCCTTGCGCAAAAGGGAAATGGGAATCCCCGGGGTCCTGGCAGCCCTGTCTGGGCCTCCTGGTCCCTCACCCAGTGCCTGATTTGGTGCCCTTCACTCTGGGCATGAAACAGGAAGTGAGGACGCAGGCCCTGCAGGAGCTGAGACCACACACTTGGTAGTTTTGGTTTGTTCTGTTCCTTTCGTGCAGTGAGTCAGGTGGTTTTCAGAGCTCTTTCCTGCACGCCACGTTGGTGACAGCAGCTCGGAGCCCTGTGCAGGGCCAGTCCCTTGCAGAGCTGGGCTCACGGCCTGGGCTGGTGCCTCCAGAGTACATTTTGCTCTTCAGAGCAGTTGCACAAGAACCTGTGCACGAGGAAAGGTTATTAAAGCCAGGTGGGGTGAGGCCTGTCTGTAGCTGCCACCAGGGACAGGCCAAGGTGTGGCCCAGAGGACTGTCCAGGGGCAGGGCTGTGGGAAGTGTCTCTCCTGGAGAGAGCTGATGGGAAAGCCACCTACGATCTGGTGGATAAGGTCACTTTGTAAGGAGCCACTTGGGTGACTTTGGGCTGCCCTTCCCTTTTCAGGACGTCAGCCCAGTGAGGGCTCTGGTCCAGGTGGTTTCTGAGGGCTCCTTCTGAAAAGTCCCCCAGGGCGTGGTGTGGGTCATGTGCCTATGCCGAGGGTGACCTGGGCATGCGTTCCAGGTAGAATCCTTGTTCTTGCTCCCCATGTTGTCACGGGGGAGGCCCCCTCCATCCTCTGCTCTAGAGAATGCTGTACCTATCACCCCAGGCAGGTGGGTTAGGAGGGTGTGGGGGTCCTTTCCCCTCCCTGCAGGGTCTGAGGGTGCCAGGCCTGTGATGTGTTTGTGCGCAGGTGAGGCCTCTGGTGGAGCTGAGGGGGGTGCACAGCACGTTTGCTGAGCTGTGGAGGGCAGGACTGGGCCTCCTCTAGCCGCATCCGAGCCAGAGAAGTGGGCTTTGGACCCTTAGTGCCAGCAGAGGCCAGCCTGAGCCCTGACGTGGGACATAGGCCGATTTGAAAATATGTCACAAATGTGAGACTCTTCTACTTTCTAAGGAGTACTCATGCCAAATGGTATATGAAGTGAGCTCTTCAACATCACTCCTCCAAAAAATCCCCAGTTAGGTTTACGGAGAGACCACTGTGCCTTCACACCACCCTCACAGGGCGTCTCCTGCCCCAAACCCAGTATGCAGGTGCCTTTTGTCCTGGACTGGGGGTCCCTGCGTGCCTCGGGGGAAGGGGTAGCAAGTACCTGCTGGCTTCTCTACTGCTTTGCTCTCAAAGACAGTAGAAACAGATGATATTTCACTATTCAGGTGCATTTGCGAGCCGCCATAATTATAACGCGTATCTCCTTGTGTTTGGGACCCGCAGATAAACAGAAAGGTGCACTGGCCAAACAGAACACAGCCGTCAATCCCAGTTCCAGAAACCACTCGGCTACGGTAATTCCCCTCCCGCCTGGCCCCAGCCAGCCCTCTGCCCTCAGCAGCCCGCGGCTCTCTGCACCCCGGGGCTCCTTCGTCCTGCTGGCACTGGCGTCCCCTTCCCTGCAAACAACTGGCTTTGGGCTTTCCTTCCTCCTGGGGGACCATGCCTTGCACGCTCTGCTCTCTGTGAGCTGCGTCATTGCACGTGGTTTGCCTGTGGTGCATGTTTCTCTCAACGCGGTCTCTACTCGCAGAGCTTTTTAGTTTATAACTGATGACTTGTGTGTTGTCGTGTGTTAACATGTAAGTAGAACTTTGGCTTTCCTTCTAATGCAGGGAGAGGAAAGAACACTAGGCAAGTCTAATTCTATTAAAATAAAAGGAGAAAATGGAAAAAATGCTAGGGATCCCCGGCTTTCAAAGAGAGAAGAATCTATTGCAAAGATTGGGAAAAAAAAATATCAGAAAATTAATTTGGACGAAGCAGAGGGTATGTGTACTTTTTAAAACTTCCACATTTTTTAGTAAATGCACTTTTAGTTTCCAGTATAGTCATTAAGACCTACTCTGCCTGTCGACATCTGGGTGGCCGCAGTCCCCATCACACTGAGGATGCTTCTCCCCGGGTCAGTCTGTGGGCTGTGGGTGTAACCTCACTGAAACCCCCATTTTCAGATTGAGAGCCGGGCCCTAGGAGGCGTCAGGGAGGCCCCCCTCATGGCCTGCAGCTCTATCCGCACAAAGGTGCTCAAGGCCCCCCAGGTGCAACCTGCCCCTCTACGCAGCCCAAGCCCTGACGTGAGCCAGGGCCTCCGGCTCTCATGGAGGGAGGCACAGCTGGTGTCTGGCTGGAGGAGGCGGGTCTGCCAGCCTCTGCAGCACCGAGGAAAGTGTCCTTCCTGTCCCTGTGCCCCAGGAGGGACAGCAGAGAGATGATGATCTGGAGACTGAGACGAGACCTTTCCTGAAAGTGCCTTTTCCTCCAAAAGCTTGTCACAAGGAGAAGCCCTGAAAGTAGAAGCAAAGCTACCAGTTGCTACTGTGACCTGCGTTTTCATCCAGGGAGCACTTGCTGCTCAGCCTGGCTTGTCATGGCTTGCTGTGGCGTCCAGACTCGCAGTGAAACTATAAAACATGCCTCCTTCAGCCTTTGTTGGCCACCAAACAGAAGTAAAACACACACCCTCTTTGAAGCTTGTGCATTTCTGAGAACTTTCAAAATTTCAGACTTTAGACTTTGTAGTTGTTTAAAAACTCAAGTAATGCAATTTAAATGCTAGAGAAAGCTCAATTTAGACACCGTCGACCTTGAATGGTGAACTTGAGTTACAATAAAGAACCCAGCCACGTGAGGAAGAGAAGAGTTCTGGAGGGGCCAGCGGGGCAGCCGGAGGTTCACAGGGTTCTCCAGATACTGGGCGGCAGCAGACCCCTTGCAGGCCGGCGGACAGCACTCTGCCAAAGGCGGAGCTCCTTCCCGTGCTGCCTTCCAGCCGTGGGGTCCCGGCCGCTGCTAGGACCTGACTCTGCCGGGCCTCAGTCTTGTGGTCACTTTTACGCCATCCTAGGAAGGGGGCAGGACTCAGGTATAAAAGGGTCCCAAGTGTTAAATAAGAAACCCAGGCCGAGGTGCCTGACAGCACCCTGCTAAAACACCATCAGCATGTTACCATAAGCGGAGGGTTTTTGATTATTCGAGCCTGATCTTCACGCAGTTTAGTTTTCAGGGAGGTGCACAGCTGCTTCTGACTCCTGAAAACAGATCCTGCTAGAAGCCCAGGGGGCTTCTGCTCTAGTTCCTGGGTGAAGGCAGTCTAGGACGTTAGTTCAGGACCACAGGACAGACAGCCCACCACCAGAGCTTTCTAGAGAGTGAATTTTTTGCTGTGACACCCGTTAGTGTGAAACTCTCTAAAACATGGTTAATGTGGGTTTTCTTCCAATAGAGTTTTTTGAGCTCATTTCCAAAGCTCAGAGCAACAGAGCAGATGACCAACGCGGGCTGCTGAGGAAGGAAGACCTGGTGTTGCCAGAGTTTCTTCGTTTGCCTCCTGGTTCCACGGAGCTCACCCTCTCCACCCCGGCCACAGCCCAGGCCATTAGCAGGAGAACCGCGACAACCAGCGGCAGGGAGAACGCATCCCCGCCCCAAGAAAGATGGGCGCCAGGCCAGGACAGCAGTGACAGCCCCTCAACCAGCCTGGGCTCGGCCCATAGTCCCCCAGGCCCCTCTGGGACGACCCCGCCTGAGCAGAAGTCTCCCAGCGGGCCCTTCTGCATCCCTCAGTCCCCCACCCCCCACACACAGGAGGGCACAGCACAGATGTGGAAGAGGCAGTCGTGGGAAGCACAGTCCGGGGACATCCAGACCGTGGAGGATGGGCAGGGGGCTGACCTGACCCTGGTGGGGGAGGCCCACATCAGCAGCCCCAACAGCACGCTTCTGCCGCCACCCCCTGCCCCCCAGGACACGCCTGGACCTCCGCGACCAGGTACCTCTGGGTTCTGACCCTCCACCCAGCCCTTTCCCACGCCGCTGCTGCCAGTGTGGTCCGCTCAGTGTCCAGTGCAACAGAACGTCTGTGGGAAGTGGCTTCCAGCTGCCACTTTGGTTTAGCAAGGCGGCCCCACAGCATATGCTCCCCCATGTATCGTATTTATTGTGGGCATCCTTGGCCTATTCTGAAAGGCCCAAGTTTGTCAGGGTTGATCATGAAGAGGATCAGACAGCGGCTCAGGGCAAGCGCAGCCGCGCCCCACCGTGCCCTTGGAGGGGTGACGCATGGGCAGGGCCTGCCCCCGGGGCAGTAAGACTCCTAGGCAAGGCCTGGGGATTTCTGAAGATGTCGGTGTTACTTTCAAAACCTGCACAGCCAACATTTTTAGTGTGCGAGTCTCGAGACTGAAAAACAGAATTTGTCTTGAGTGAGTGAAGCCCCGCGACTCGGAGCAGGACGGGGCCTCTGACGCAGGGCCCGTGTACGGGGAGAGCATGCTGCGCAGGCCGGGCAGGGTGTGCCAGATTAGGGAGTCGGAGCTACATTGGTGGTGTGCCCTGACCTCCAGCGTGCCGCGGGCATTTCTCCCAGTGGAAGCATGAAATTCAGTGTGTGTGAAGGTGAACAGTGTGGTCTGGAAGCAGAGAGATTTCCACGAGCCACAAATACTAGGAATTGGGGCGAGATTCCCCACATCCTAAACGGCAGCCGGCAGGGCTGCTTCCAGGAGCCCGGGTGCTGGGGCCGGTGCAGCTGTCCCCCAAGAGACGGTGGGCTGCTCAGGGCGTGTGTCAGAGCATGCTCAGTGGTGTGTGGGCACTTCTGGTTGTGACCTGCCATTGGGGGTGGCGAGATTGCCCTCTCTGCCCCACCGTCCCGGTGCAGGATGCTGATGGCAGTCTGTCCTGCTGCAGGATCAGGTCGTCGGGCCTGTCGCCCAGACCTCGACAGGGAACCAGGGAAGGCATTTTCTGTGTACATCCTGTGTATCTGTAACATCTGGGCACTTTGGAGGCCCCATGCTGTGTGGAGGGCTCCCCGGTGCCTTTCCCGGGGAGGAGCGCCGGGATGTGAAACCCAAGGCGCTGTGGCCGTCCGTGGATGCTGCTCTGCTCGCCTCTGCCCTGCTGCCTGTCCCCTCCTGCTCTTCTCTGTAGACCCCTGTGTGTAGCTCCCGCCTATGTTTGGAGCCTGTGTTCTTTCGAGAGTAATAAACTCTAGAGCTCATCGCTGGACTGGTTTAAAACTTTTCTTTTTCATTTCAAAATTTCTTTCCACTTTAGAAAACTATAGAAATATTTTAAGCTAGAGAAAATATTATACATTTTTAGGACATTAAATGAATTTACCTTAACATATTGGCTTCTAAAAATATACCTTTCACTCAATAAAATCCTCTAGCACTTTGTATGTGCCCGCCAAGCGCGGTCATACAGCAGTGGCAGCGGCCAGCACTCCACGGCGCACGGGCTGGGAGCGGGTGGGCACCTCCTCCCGGGGCCCTCACAGGCCTCTCCAGCCAGGATCCCCGCAGGGCCGTGGCGTGGTCAGGCTTCCAGTCTGTGCCTGCCTCTGGCTCTCCTTCCTCCAGATGCTTCCACAACAGAAGAATTGGTGACACTGCAGTCGTCCAGTTTGTTCCTCATAAACTGGGGGCTGGGCCGTCACCTCTCAGCTCCCGCCCAGCCACACCAGCTCTGGGCTGCTGGGGCTGGCTCTGCATCGGGCTCTCCCACCCAGCAAGGGCTGTTAGTGTGGGCAGCGGTACCCACGCCCGGTGGCCTCTGCCAACTGTCCCTAGCGTGCTCATGGCACCGTCTGCGTAGGGAGCACGTCCTCCTCGAGCCCTGGCGGCTGCTCTTGAACATGGATGGCCGGGACCAGTTCCACGGTCCCACCAGCCCCAAGCCCTGTGGCTTTGGGCCCTGTCCTGGGAGGATACCACAGCAGAAGGCAGTGGGAGGGCCTTTGGCCATAGGTCATAGGTCTGTGGCTCCTGCTGAACAGTAGTAGGCTCCACAACCTGCCCAGTCCTCCTGGAGGTGACGCCCCAGTCAGCGGGGAGAGCCTTGGGACTTTGCGCATCTCACTTTCTCAAACCTCAGTTCGTGATGCTAAATCTGGCGGCCCTCAGGGTTTCTAAGCATGGGGGGCTTCTGTCATGGCATAAGCCGTGATTAGCTGCCTGCGTGGGGCAGTGGAGGCAGCCGTCCGCGAGAGTCCGCGGGCATCTTTGCCACTCCTGGGCAGTGGAGAGCCTGGGCCAAGTGCTAACTTGCACCTCTTAGGGTTGAGAAGTTCAGAATTCATCCAGAGTCACTCTCTGTGGCTCCAAAAACTGCTGTGAAGTATTTCTTAGCGATGCGGCAGCCGCTGTGGACCCACTGTCCTACAAGAGGAATACGTGGGGCTGGGTGCCCGGGGCACCCAGCCACCCACAGCCATGGCTGGGCAGAAATAGGGAGCCCTCCAGGGCTGCACTGCTCACCCTGCCCCTCCAGCCTCTGGGCCCATCTTCCCCTGGGAGGGGCCGCCCAGGACAGGGGGGAGGCCCATTCCTCCAGATGTGCTGCCAGACCGCCCTGCTGACCCTCCTCTCTGAGCCTCCGTGTCTGACAGGTAGATGGGGACATCAGATGACAGATGTGTCAAAGCCCTTCACAAGACTCCAGGACACTTGGAGGTGGGGTGTGTGTGTATGTGGCATGTGTCTATGTGTGTGCCTGGTGTGTGTCCATGTGGTGTGTGTGTGTGCCTGGTGCGTGTCCATGTGGCATGTGTGTGTGCCTGGTGTGTGTCCATGTGGCATGTGTGTGTGTCCCTGGTGTGTGTCCATGTGCATGTGTGTGTGTGTCTGGTGTGTGTCCATGTGGCACGTGTGTGTGTGCCTGGTGTGTGTCCATGTGCATGTGTGTGTGTGCCTGGTGTGTGTCCATGTGCCGTGTGCGTGTGTGTGCCTGGTGTGTGTCCATGTGCATGTGTGTGTGTGCCTGGTGTATGTCCATGTGGCATGTGTGTGTGTGCCTGGTGTGTGTCCATGTGCATGTGTGTGTGCGCCTGGTGTATGTCTATGTGGCATGTGTGTGTGTCCCTGGTGTGTGTCCCTGTGACGTGTGTGTGCCTGGTGTGTATCCATGTGGCATGTATGTGTATGCCTGGTGTGTGTCCATGTAGCGTGCGTGTGTGTGTGACTGCTGTATCCATGTGGCATGCATATGTGTGTGACTGCTGTGTGTATCCATGTGGTGTGTGTGTGCGTGGGGTGTGTCCATGTGGCGTGTGCGTGTGTGTGACTGTGTGTATCCATGTGGTGTATCTGTGTGGCATGTGTGTCTCTGGCGTATTTTGTGCATACCTGTGTCTAGCTGAGGGAACTCTCCGGAATGCTCGCGTGGCGCGTGGTGGGAGCGGTGGGGCGGCCTTCCCACGCGCAAGCCCTGCCTCACGGCGGTTGTTAGTTCTTGGCACAAGCAGGAGAGCTTTGTTTCTGTGTTCACGAGGGAGAGCGACTCAGAAAGACAGAACCAGAACCCGGTTCCAATGCAAAGTGCTCCTTCAGTGGCACAGTCTTAAAACATGCGCTTACGGTTATTTCCATGACAATTCCCGACTGCCTTCCTAACCTGCTCTGTTCGGTTTCCGACACACACCGGGAGCTGGTGGGCAGGCGTCTGCCAGCAGTCCCCGCCCGGGCCACCTGGGTGGGAGCTGGAGGGTATGCGTTTGCCGCCGAGACCCCCTCCCTCGGTTCTGCGAAGGTGAGATTTCTGCACGTCCTCGGGGAGGGTGTGGGGATTATGCCCTAAAGGAGGTGTTTTGCTAGTGAGGAAAACATATCTGTGAAACTGAATTTGTGGTGAGCACCTCAGTCCAGAGCCGCCTTCTGCTCTGACCCGCGACCCTGGCAGCCGCCACACTGCATGCACTTTGCTCCCAGCAGTGAGCGCTCAGCCGGTAAGAGCCCCCAGGAGGGCACATCTGGAACCCTCGGCTCTCTACCTGCCTGTCCCTCCGTACAACAGAAGGGCCCAGAGAGGGCCAGGAGGGGCCAAGCCTCCGCTGCCTGACCCCAGCAGCCCCCTGTCCCACCCAGCAGCCCAGGCCCCAGGCAGCCCCTCTCCAGGCACTGTCACTGCTGACCAGATGCTTCGAGACTGGACTCGGGTCCTGGCTGAGCCCCGGCGGCTAGCAAGCCCCACCCCTGCCCCTTTGGTCTTTTTTTTTTTTTTTTTTGAGGCAGAGTCTCACTGTGTTGCCCGGGCTAGAG